CCCCCCCCCCCCAAAAAAGTACTACTATAAACATATATGTACATATGTATGTGTAGTACCTTTCCCTCAGTCTTTGACCTCTGAGAAGATTAAATTGATTCTGTATCTTTTCTTATTGATCCTATTTACAATTAATTGATTTTGTCCTATAACTAAGTTATGGTTCTTTGTCTCTGAACTTAGTTCAGAAATTCAGCTGGTCTGTAAATAGAGTTAAAATTAGAAATCCAGTTCTCTTGCTAATCACTGTTCTGTTCTTGCCTCAAGGGAATCTGTTATCCTTGAGGGATTTGGTGGACTCCAGGGATTCTGATCTGGTATCTTTATACCACCAAGCTATTCTTCAAGGATGTCTGGTTTGCTATCCAACAAGGCCAGGTCCACTATTTCTAATCTTGCAGGTAGACTCAAACAATGAATATTTCTTAGTCACAGAAGGGAAAGAGAGGGTTGTTCCCAGCCCCTTGTTCCTAATTTTCAGCTAATCATATTGTCCCTCATGCCTCAGCTCTGTAAGCAGTCATGTTGTCCTCACCCCCATGATGTCTCCGATCCTGTAACTAATTCTGTTATTTCCTCATCTGCCCTGTTCTCTTCTTTGTTCCTTGCTTATAAAAAGGAACTGTACCTTCAGTTCAGGGTCTTTTGGCTAACTGAGGCAGTCATTAGATCCAATTTATTACCAAATTTGAGCCCTGATTATAAACTGTTTTCTTGCTTGGAGAATACATGCCTCAGTCTACCTTTGTTGGATTTTACTTTTGACACCTCCTAGGAGTATATGCCTAGTAGTGGTGTCTCTGGTTTAAAGGAGCATTTTTTTGTATAATTTCAAATTGTTTTCCAGAATTGTGGGGTCATTTGACAACTCTACTCACATTGTGTTGGTGTGTCTATCTTCTAACTGTTCTTCTAATGTTTACCATTTTTGTCTTTTGCCATCTTTGCCAATACGATGGATGTGAGGTGAAATATTAGAATTATTTAAATTTTCATTTCTCTTATTAATAATTTCAAGTATTTTTTCCATGTAGTTATTTATGACTTATATTTTCTTCTTTTGAAAACTGCCTATAAAAAATCCACCTAGGCAGCTAGGTGGTCCAGTGGGTAGACCACTGGGCCTGTAGTCAAGAAGACCTAAGTTCAAATACAGCCTTAGACACTTTCTAGCTTTGTGACCCTGGGCAAGTCATTTAACCTCAGTCTGCCTCAGTTTCCTTGGTTGCAAAATGGCACCTGCCTACCAGGATTGTTGAGGATCAGGTGAGATATTATTTGTAAAGCACTTAGTATAGTGTCTGACACATAATATAGATATATGAGACACATAATGAATACTTATTTCCTTTCTTTTGGCCATATTTTCTGGCAAGTGTTTTTTGTTCTCACATTATTTCTATCAGTTTGCTCCATGTCTTGAATATCATGGCTTTATCCAGAATATTTGCTACAAACTTTTTTTTTTTCAATTAACTGCCTTACTAATTCTAACTTAGTTGATTCAGAATTAGGCATTATTTCCTATAAGATTCTTGACCTTTTGTTCTTAGGAGGGGCTTTGTTCACCGTCCACCTTAACTATATAGTTCTTTGGTAACTTCTTTCCCCTACGTAAGACTGTCCTTATTGTTAATTTTCCACAGAATCAGAAATATTAGAGCTGAAAAGTACCTTCAGATATAGAACCTAGGTTGTTAGATCTGGAAGGAATATACTAAACATAGACTATTAAACCTTAGAGACCATCCAATCCAGCCCCTTATTTTATAGGAAACTCTGAAAGGAAGGGAAGTTGCACACCTGGCTAATGTCAGAGTCAGGACTAGACCCCAGGTCTCCCAATAAATTAACTTGTCATTAGTTCACACTTCCTCACTCACAAAATAGAGTAAACACTGTACAGAAATGATTTATGATGATGGTAACTCATTTGTTTTCCAGTCTTGGAAGGTCATGCTTATATTTATGATTTTAATTAATTCATTGTTGTCTTCACTTTTAATTCTGCACTTTAACCAAACCAAAGTCTTTGGAGGCTGTGAATTGATGTATGACAGAATTAATCTTCTTGTCTTCTCTGTGCTTGGGGAATAAATTTCTACTGTAGTTTGTGGATTGAAAAATAACATTGTCTCGCTGTTGAAGCTTAGATGGGAATTAGGGGCTTTAAGAAACATTTGTTAAGTTGAGTTGGAAAAAAGTTTACCAAGTAATGTTCAGAGAAAATCAACTCTTCACTTTTGGCCTTTTTTTTTTTTTCCAGCTCTCTTGGGGTAAATCATACAAATTAGCTGTCCTATTTAGAAGGCAGATGAAGTACATTACAGTATAAGGCAAAGATCATTGGGCTTAGCATCCAAAGACTGGCTTCAGGTTCCATCTCTGACATTAGCCATGTGACTCTGGGCAAGATACCATCCTTCTCTTGATGCGAGTTTCCCCATCTGTAAAATCATAGATTTTTTTTTTTTTTTTTTTTTTTGGTGAGGCAGTTGGGGTTAAGTGACTTGTCCAGAGTCACATAGCTAGTAAATGTTATGTGTCTGAGGCCAGATTTGAACTCAGGTCCTCCTGACTCCAAGGCCAGCATTCTATCCACTGCTCCACTTAGCTGCCCCAAAATCATAGATTCTTAGAATGTAGCACTGGAAGGACCGTTAGAGATTATCTAATACTACCTCATTTTATAAAAGAGGAAACATTCATAAAGGAAAAGTGACTTGCCCAAGATTGGGCTAGATCTCCAAAATCCTTTCTGGCTTTATGATTCTATGATTCTGTAGTTTCCCCTTATCTTTCATTATATAGGACTGCAAGGGAAGACTTGTTACCATGAAAAAAGGTAAATAGAACCAGAGTGAGCTTTCTGGCTAACTGGCAAAGGCAGACGTCTAGTTATTGTACAAAGGCAGTATGAAAGGAGCTTGTGTCCCTTTTAAGAATAGTATCTGCTGTTCAGTTAGTTAGCAGGATGCCTGCCTCCACAATAATTCCCCCCAATGAGGGAATTAGAAGGTCCTGAAATAAAACAGTATTTGACCAAGTCCATCTTACTTGGGACCTACTTCATCCAAGGAACACGTCTTTGTTCAGTCTTCACTTGGTTCTGAATTAATGTGGGTAGCTCTGCTGTTATTTCTTGTCACCAGGTAATGCTAAGTAAGTGTCTTTCCCTTTTCTGTGCCACATTTTAGTTAACTTGATGTCCTGATAAGCCTGTCGTTACCATCCTCCTGGATTTTTGCCACCTACTAGGTCTCCCTACCTTCATTCTCTCTCCTCTCTAATCCACTGAAGAATCAGTGTGGTGTGCTAGAAGAGCACCTGATTTGGAGTCGGAAGACTTGGATTCTATCTCTTGTGTCCTTCACATGCTGCCAAACTTCTTTATGCATAGATTTGTTTATACTCATCCTATATTCAAAAACTTTCAATAGATTCCTTTTGCCTATAAATTAAAACTCAGATTCTCTACCATGGCATTCATAATCTGGCTTCACCATCCCTTTCCAGCCTTATCTCATACTATTTTTTCTCAACCAATTCTGTTTCTGGCAAAATTGGACTATTTGAAATAAATGAAATATTTGCCCTGGGCATTCTTGTCTCTGTGCCCTGCCCTCGTTCACATTCTATGTATCCTGTACCTAGAATGCAGATCCTCTACTCCACCATACATCTGTAGGATATCCTTCCCATTCTTTAAAGCCCAACTCAGATGCCACCTCCACCAAGAAACCCTCCCTACAATTCTCCTTCTTCTGCTAGACCTCACATAGCCTTTTGTGTCCCTCTTATTCATTTACATTATGTTATTTTAGATTAGAATTATTTACATCTCTGCCATAACCCTCTACTAGAATGTAAACTCCATGATGACAGGGATCTAGTTTTAACTGAACTTTGTTAAATCCTCTGGTGCCTAGTTCTGTACATCTAGTAAATGGTTTGGGTTCTTAATTTAATTAAAGGGTAGAGAAAAAAGAAGTAGTCAGAGGTGGAAGAATCAGGCATAGGTGATGCAGAATGCCCAGTAACTTTCTTTAAATAGACCTAGACCACTGTGTAACAGGCACCTTATCCTTCTTTAAATTAGTCATTCATCCTTCAATTTGTATTATTCTTTGTCATATCTTTTATTTTTATGTCACCTTTATTTCTCAGTAATATTCTTCCCCCTTCCTCCCTACAGTGAGCCATCCCTTGTAAAAAAAATTTTTTGAGTTAAAAAAAAAAAAGCACTTCAGCATAACCAAACAACATATCAACTAGGTCTAGCAGTGTAAGCATTATTCTACACTCATAGTCCTTCATCTCACCAAAGCGGGGCAGGGTGGGGGGAATGTATTTTTTATGGTGCCAAGCTTCTTGGTCATTATAATTAGGACATTCATTTTTTTCTTTATATTTACATTGCTGTAGTCATGTATATTATTTTCCTATTCAACTTCATTCTGTATCAGTTCATATAAATCATCCCATTCTTCTCTGAGTACTTCATATTCATCATTTCTACAGGCTATCATTTTTAATATATTCATATGCCATAATTTTTTTAAGCACATTCCCAGTCATTATTTTCAGTTCTTTGCTACTATAACAGATGCTACTCTGAATATTTTTAAGGCTGTAAGACCTTTCCTTTTGTCACTGATGTCCTTGGAGCAAAGTTTAATCACAGGAGCTTTGTTTTTCTGACACCCATCCATTCTTATTACAATCAAAAAAGTATCGAAGCCTAGAGGGTTTATAATGTCTTTGTTTATCTGGTGGGTATTGAGTCTAGCAGGGTGGTGAAGTGGGAAGTGCAGTGCATGTATTTGAAGTCAGAAGACTTGGGTTTGAATGCCAGTGCCCATGCTCCGTGTAACCCTAGACAAGTTATTTCTTTCTGTCTTTAAAACAAGAGGTTTGAATGCCGTGGTCTTCTTTTTTTTTAGCTCCCTTCCAGATGTAGATTCTGTGATTTGATGTGGCTCTATGTTGTTCTCCCCTAGCTCAAGAGCTGGAGTGTGGAAGACCTTCAGAAGAGGCTGTCTGCCCTTGACCCCATGATGGAGCAGGAGATTGAAGAGATTCGGCAAAAGTACCAGTCTAAACGGCAGCCAATTCTGGATGCTATTGAGGCTAAGAAACGGCGGCAGCAGAACTTCTGAGCAAATCCCAGCCTGGTGGCAGGACTGGCCTTGGTTCACGTCTCAAGGGTGCTCTGTTCCCAGCTTCCCACAAACCCTGCAGGTTGCTCCATGTTGAGAGCAAAATAGAGGGGCGCACGGTTCTGCCCTTTCATGTTCCCATAAGCACCTTTGTGAACTTCAGGAATGCAAATGAGCATGGAGGTCATTTTTGACAGTCAAGGCTCCATTTTGACATCCAATGTATTTAAAATAATGAGGGATCTTATTTCACAGGGTCCCATGTTAGTATTTTTAAACTCACGGTTTTTAACTCAAGGAATAGGGAAATCCCTAGGCCAGCAAGAGTTGGGAATGTTTTATATTTTGTTTTTTCCCCAAATAGCCTTCAGTAGTTCTTGCTGTAAGTTTTTTAAGTATGTAAATTATAAATATGTCCACACATCCTGTGGCATTGAACTACTGGACTCTTGGTACAGGTACAGCTTGAAACAATTTAACTGTACCCTCTTTGACTACGGTACTGCAGAGTGGGTTAGCAAGGGTCACTGGGAGGCCACTGGGAAAAAGAACAGGACTCTGGGGGATCCAGCCTGTTCTTTGATGGGGCCTTATAAAATTAAGTTTCAGCCTAATCACGTTAGGGTGATTTGAGCCTGGCGCTTGCTTAGCACTTATCACTGTCTGTTAGTAAATATTAAATCTTTGTTTACTATTTGAACTCCAGGGAGAAAGAAGCCTGCCTCATGGCATCTTCCTTGCAAAAACTTGTCACCCACCAGCTCCTCCTTTATCTGATTCTCATCCCCACACACCTTGTAGAGACTGGCGGCTAAATAGAAAAAGCCCTGATTTGGGTTGGGTTTGAGACATCAGAAAACTCAGATGTCTTTCTTGTCTCTGTGACCTTGGGTAAGTTACTTACCCTCTCTGAGCCTAAACATCCCCACTTGTAAAACAAGAAAGAGCTTGGACAGTATAATTGCTATGGTCATCTTCAGTTCTGACATTCTTTGCTCCTCAGGCCCCGCTAACATCCCATGACCCCCTCACTGTTGCCTTTGCACCCATCCATAATTGGTAATCAGACTTCTCCTTTCTGTCTCCTCTCCCTTTCACATATCCTCCTTCTGCCACCCCACCCCGCCAAAAAAAGGAAATTCCTTGTCCTCATGTAGGACAAAAAGCACTGGACTGGGGGCTCCTCCCAGCTCTGATAACTTGATGTGTGACTTTAGGCAAGTCACTTCTCTGAGCCTCAGTTTCCTCATCTGTAAAATGAGGTGGTTGGACCAGAGCTTAAGGTTCCTTCCAGCTGTGACATTCTGTGCTTCTGAATCCACATGTTCATCATTAGCTACAAGAACATTGACCACAGCCTCTGTTTCAGGTGGCACATTGTCCAATTGCTTTCATTTGTCATGGGTTCTATGTTCAGTTGTGTGTTTAGGGGGAAAACACTCCTGCCTGCTTCCTTCCCTGCAGCCATGCAGGAAGGGAATGCTCACACCATGGGTGTGATATGCAAGCCCGAGAAGTAGCTTTAACTTTTTCTACCAGAGGACTTTGACACCAATCTAAGTTCTGTCTTGAAATGTGCTGTTGTCATATCTGGTTGTACATAATAGGCCCAGGTCCCTTATCTGTATATGTGTGAAGCAGTTGGAGGGATCTTTGAAATTGAAGATGATTCTTTGATATTTGGATTGTTCTTCTTTATCCAGCATTGGCCTTATTTGTTCTAAATAAATTGTTCTGAAAACTACAGTCGCTGTTCCTTTTAGTCTCCTCATATAGCAGTGATGGAAGGTTTTGGCTGAGTGAATGGTACTTCTGGAGTAGTGCTGAATTCCAGTTTCGAGCTATTAAGTGTTTGCAGTTATTTTATTTCACTCTGTCAGAAGGCATAGAATTTAGTGATTTAGGTGAGAATTGGATAGAATCTCCACTGATGTCAGTCGGCAAAGCTTTATTAAGTGATTGCTACGGGCAGGCACTGTGCCAAGCACTAGGGATACCGAGAATTGAAAAAACACAGTTCCTGAACTCAAGGAGCTCACAGTCTAATGCAGACATGCAAATAACTATACATATACAAGATGTAGACAGTATAAGTGGGAGGCAATCTCAGAGTAATAGCCAAGGCCTCCTGCACAAGGTGGGATTTGAGCTGCTTCACTGCGACACAGGGGTGGCTCCTTAGGTCTCCGTGGCTGTGCCAGTGGAGGTCCTCCCCAGCTCAAAGGCTTGTGTGTAAGCCCACTGAAAATGTGAATCTTGTGTCCAAAAACCGGCTACGCTTATCAGGTTGTCTGCAGAATGCATTTTTCAACCACAGCAACACTCAGAAACTGTCATCTAAGTTATAAAGGGGTTGTCTTTGGACAGTTGGATTCAGTGGCCTGTTGGAGGGAGTCTCCACATTAATGAACTTTCCATTCCTTGAAACATGAGTGCAACATACCCAAAACCCACCAGGCAATCAAGAGATTTCCTGATTGAATAAGCTAAGCAGTCTGACCTAGCACTTGGACCAATCTAAAATCAATGGGAAAGTGGGTGTTCAGAGGCCAAGGATGCCACAAGGGAAGTAGATGCAGCAGTGTGGTATGCCCAGGAACAAAGAGTGTTATAAGGCTTGAAGCTTCAGAGACTAAGGAGTCAATAGTTCAGGACTAGATGGTTGTTTTGTTTTGTTTATGCACAAATGCCATGCTTAGGGACCAAAGATCAGGTAGCTCTGGGCCTAGTGTCAGGGATGGGAAGAAAGTAAGAAATTAGTGACAGATGATAGCACTGGGGTCAAGAACAAGGATCCCCTACATGAGAAGCATCAAACGTGAGTCCCACAACACTCCTTAGTGCTACATGAACCAGATTAAAATGTAAATGGGAAATTTTTAATGAAATAAATAAAAATATAATAAAGTATAGATAATGTTAATATGTGATTTTCTAAGTCAATGTCCTGCCCTTGGAGATCCTTATGAATGGTTTAGTGCCCCCATCCCCACCCCATTTCTTTCTTGAGTTTGACACCACTGCCTTACACCGGAGAGGCATCATGGAAAAATGGATAGAACTCTGGACCTGAAGTTAGGAAGACCCAGGTTAAAATCCCATCTCAGACATTTCCTAGCTGTGTGACTCTGGAGAAATCATTTAACTGCTCACTCCATGCCTCATTTTCCACATCTGTAAAATGAGGGGGTTGAACTCAGTAGCTTCCAAGGCCCTTTCTGGCTCTAAATATATGATCTTTTTCATATAAGCTACGTCAAAGGACTAATGCCCTAAGAAACAGAATGTCCTCCTGACTTCAGGGCCAGTGCTCTAGCTACTGCACCACCTAGCTGCCCCAAGGAATAAGCATTCATTAAGCACCTACTTCACTTAGAAGAACAAAAGATCAGGAACTTCAAAGAAACCAGTGGGGAAAAAGATGTAAAGGAAGCAGATTCAGTAGTATCAGACCTTAAACTATATTATAAGATAAGATCATTGTTGAAGTGTAAAGTGGATAATGTTTATAATTTTAAATTAAAATTTTCTTGTATAAATAAAACCTATGCAGCCAAGAATAGAAGGAATGCAGAAAATTGAGGGGAAACTTTCACAGACGATCTCTCAGATAGGGTGTGATTGGGTTGGAATATTGCTGTGGTGTAGGAAATGATGAACTGGTTGATTTAGAAAAACATGGAAAGGCTTGGATCTGTGAAGGAAGATGCTGCCCACCTTCAAAGGAACATGACAAGTAGAAATAAACATGGTACAATCTTACATGTGCATGAGTGTATATCTGTATGTTTATAGATATGTATGTATATGTGTGTATACATATATATATATATACACACACACACATACACATCTGAGCTTCATTGTAGCCTTCTTTTGGGGGGGGGAGTAAAGTAAAAAGTGCACAGCAGAGAGCAACAGAAAACCTACAAATGGAAACTTATTGCTTTATACTGAATCTTATGTTCTGCTGTGTATGTGGCAGTTTTTTTCTTTTCTTATTTTGTATTTAAATTTAAAATAATTTTTTTAAATGAAAAAGATGACCAAAAAATGCCTACTATGTGCCAGGCACTGTGCTGAGTGCTTTACAAATATCTCATTTGACATGACACAACTAAGGAACCCTGCCAGCACTCCAGAATGGAACCTGTTCTCAGAGCAGGCTGAGGTGATGGTCAAAGGGCCCACCCATTCCAAGATGTGGAGAGGACCTAGTCAGAATGTCAGCTGAGCAGGGAAGCAGCTGCACTCATAGTGAAATTCAATTTAACATTTATTGAGGACCTACCAGGTGCAGATCAGGTTCTGTTTGATGATGGTCATTGGACTTATTGAGCTCACATTCTAGTGGGGTATTGGGGAGGGCCGGTAAGACCCAACTCTAAACAAACATATGTATCACATGTTAAATGCATGAAAAAGAGGCAAAGTTAAGGTCTGAGGTGGGATCAAGGAAAGCTTTATAGGAGAGATATTTGAGTTGGGCCTTAAAGATGAGTAGAAGTTTAACAGGCAAAGAGAGAAAGGGTAGCATTCCACGTGTAGGGATCAATGTGAGCAAAAGTGAAAAACTGAGCCCAGTGCACCCCACCCCTCCCCCTCCCCATAAGCTGGACAGTGAGACCCAGCCATAGAGACAAAAGACTCCCTGGGCTCGGGTTCTTCATTTGCGTAATGCTTTTAATTGATTCAAGTTTTCACAGAAAGGGTTTGCTTCCATTGCCAGGATTGGAAGGCTCCTCCACTGTGTGATCCCTCCAGCAGCCCAGACTAGAATTTTCCATCTTTTGGTTTTATTATTAAGAATGAGAATGTCTGTGTCCCAGAGCAAGCTAGTCCTCTGAACACGGTCAGGAGTCTGCCCTCTAGACCCTCGTGTCTCTGCCTCACCTGGGACCTAGGCTTGGTCCTGGGAGCTGGGCACAGGGCCCAAAGGACACTCAGCCCAGGCAGCCCTTCCAATCTGGAGCCCCTGCATCCATCCATCCATTAGTTATCTATTAATAATAAGAAGGCTAGAGAGAACAATTGCATTCACATAAACGATTCCATTTGATGCTCACAACCGAGGGGAAAGATGCGTTTCAAAGAACTTTGAATTTGAACTTTAATTTGGAGACCTGATTTTCAATCTGGGCTCCAACACCAGCCATGTGAACATGGACAAGTCACTTCCTCTCACTAAGCCTCAGTTTCCTTCTCTGTAAAATGAAAATAATACATACACCACCTAGATTACAGTGCTGTTATGAGGAAAGTATTTTGTAAAGTATTCTAGGAGTGTAAACCCTAAGGAAGATTTGAGAAGGCACCTCTCACTTCTTTGCAAAGGTAGGGTGGGAAACAGTGCATCTAATGACACACTTTTTCAATGACTTCATTAGTTTTGCTGAACTGTTTTTTTTTAAATTATTGATCATGAGGGATAGTGCTCTGGGAGGGGGCAAGGAGAGATTGGAAAATGTATGTAATACTAAAAAATTAATAAAAATTTTATTTTTAGAAATGTGAGTGGACGCACTGCTGTTATCCCTACTTCACAAATGGGGAAACTGAGAAGTAGTTGGCTCAATGTTGCCTAACAAGTTAGCTGCAGAGCCAGGACTCAAACAAAGGTCTCCAGTCTCCCCACCCACTACCCTTACCTTCTTAGGTGTGGCTAGGTGGCACACTGGATTGAGCCCTGGGTCTGGAGTCAGAAGCTCTTAGTTCAAATCTGGTCTCAGACACTTATTAGCCTCATGACCCTGGGAAAGTCACTTAACCTGTTAGATTCAGTTTCCTCTTCTATAAAATGGGTTAGCAGTAATGGCACCTACTTTCCAGGGTGGTTGTGTGGATCAAATGAAATAATTTTAAAGTGCTTAGCACAGTGCCTGGTACATAGTAAGCACTATATAAATGTCAGCTATTATTATTATTGTCACTGCTACTATTTCAGGTTTGAGTCTTTTGTAGTACCTAGAATATAGTTAAATATTGTGGATTAACTGAATCCAAAAAATCTGACAACCTTGCCCAAAATACCTACCAGGCATTCAGGCTAAGGCAGTCTTTTCCAATGATGATTTATTTCTTTCCTATTTTTCAGTTTGGGGACAAACTCACTCATTTTTAAAAAATATTTTGATAACTGTGGTTCAGTATCACTGGTTTCTTTTGTAATCCTGTGTATTTTATTTTATGTATTTAAAATATTCTGAGAAGGGGTCAGTAGGCTCCACCCGACTGCCACAGTTGTCCATGTCAAAGGAGTTGAGAAGCCCTGTTAATAGGTCCTCCAGCTCTGTCTCTACCCCCTGGAACATGCCTCCTAAGACTGTGGCTGAAAGGACTTGAACTGGTCTCCTTATTGGAGAAAGCCACTCCAAAGGTTGGATAAAGTAAATGAGTTTTCAAGTAATAAAGGTACTGATAACTTAAGGAAGATAAACCAGAAGGGCCCAGCCAGTTTTCCCTTCAGCCCATAGCTCTACAGTAGATAGATTGTATGACTTCAAGGATAAGGAAATTCCCATTTTATAAAATATAAGCAATTCGCTCACTGACCTCTTCCCAGGTCAGGCACATGGAAAATTGTTCTGGGTGCCATATTTTAGACAAGATATTAAGAATCTGATGGAGGGCTACCAGCATTGTGAAAGGACTGGACATCAGTGCTGACAGGGATTGCTTGAGGGAACTAGAAATGTTTAGCCTAAAGATACAAGATGGGGACATGATCTCTGTCTTCAAATATCTGGAAGGTTGTCATAGCTATTTAACCACGGAGGAAAGAACAAGGACTAGTGAAGGGAATTTATAAGGAGGGAGATTTCAACTCAATGGAAGGAATAACTTTCTAACAAATAAAAAGTCTTGCAGTGATAGCTCCCTGTCATTTGAGATAATTCATGCAGAAAATGGAAGAGTGCCTGCCAGAGATCCTATAGAGGGAATCCATGGGCACAGTGGGCAATTTAATAATCGTAGCTTACCCTTCCAACATGGACCTTGGATCTGTGTTAGTCATCCTGTTTCTTGTGCTAATGGTAGTGGGGAGTGACACATTGAGAAGTGAGACCAAGCATATGGGAATGGAGATATAGTAAGGAAAGAGAGGAACAGAGATGAGCCTGACTGTGGCAAAGTACAAGTGGAAGGAGATGGCTAGAGACCTGGGGCTTCAGGGTAGATGTGTCAGGGCCAGATAATGGAGCTTGCAATTAGAATCATCTGACATATGTTTAGTACTTGATAGTTACACAATACTCTACAAATTCTTTCCTTAGTTGATGCTCTCGAAAGTTCTGTAGGATAGGCCAGGTAAGTATGATTTACCCTCATTTTAAAGGAGGAAAACAAAACTCAGGGAGAGTATTGACTTGCCCAAAATCACACAACTAGTATCAGACTTGGGCCCAGCTTTCCCATCTTCCAGTCCTGGGCTCCTTCCTTTATGACCCCATTTCCAGCTTGGGGACTAAATACAAAGAAGCTGTTTCACTCAGACTTAAGGGACAGTTGCACATGGTTCCAGGCCCCTAGAGCTGCCTATAAGAGGGCAGAAGCAAAGCAGGAAGAAGCTCAGACCAGGAGGGCGGCCCCACTTACTTACCAAGCAATAGCATTGACTCAAAAATGGCAAAAGTCAGGGCATCCCTAAAATCATCTAAGGATAGGGTCATAGGAACGCAGAGCTGAAAGTCACCCTAGCACACATCAGAGGTTGAATGGCCTTTAGACACCGTCTAGTTCAGCCCTCTCCTTTTACAGATAGAGAATTGAGGTATGGAAAATCAAAGTGAATTGCCAAAGTAACACAGGTAATACACAGCAAAGTCAGGATTCAAGCCCAGGTCCTCTCCTTTCAAATCCAGTGCCCTTCCTACTCCTACAAGCTTCTCATTTCAATGCCAGAGCTGCTATAATCTGGAGCCAGGGTGATCTGAGCAGGGTCTCATCGGGCAGGCACCCCCAGTGCTGTCCCAAAAGAGAGAGGGCAGGAGCTCACTGGGAGTGACCAAGCCTCGTCCAGGAGCTCAATGGCAGGTTTCAGTGAGTGTGAGAATAGGCACGGAAGGATGCAGACAGTTGTGAAGCTTGGCTAAGAGGACAATGACGACAGTAGGAGACACAGGGTCTAGCTTTAAGAAGGGCTGGCTCAGCTCAGCCCAAGAATCAGGGGGGATGCTTCAGGTCATTGCGGACACCCAGGGAGTGAGGACAAGAGAGTCCTATACAGAACCACACTGAGGATGAAAATGAAAAGCCTAGAGTCCTGCCCCTGTGGGGCACACAAGGCTGTGGATCACCAGGCAATGCATACTTAAAGAATGGCAGAATTTCAGAGCTGGGAGGACCTCAAAAGCCATACCTAAGCCCATAGCTCAACCCACACCTAAGGAGGAATCCCCACTCCCACTTGACCAAGTAGCTCTTCTACTTATTGTGGAAGCCCTTCAAAGAGGGGTCTGCCAATAGCAGCCCATTCCCTCTCTAACATGAAGTTCTAACTTTAAGCAAACTGAAGTTTGTCTCTTTTGCAACTGCCACCTGCTGCCCCAAGTTCTGCCCTCTAGGAGCAAACAAAGCAAGTCCATTCCTTTTCCAGATGACAGCCCTTCAAACACATAGTCAGGGATCCTCTCCCTCCCCAGGTCTTTTCAATATCATCAGTTCCTTCAATATTTAATTAACAAAAGGCCATCCACCATCCTAGTTACCATCCTCTGGATGCTCTTGGGATCGAAGGAAAGCAGCACTACCCCAGGATGGTCCCATGAAACCAGATGTTTTCAGGCTCAAAAATGAAGACCACCTTCCCACACTCTACCCAGCTCTAGTGGGTATTTCCACTCTAGGGTTCAGTCTGTTAAATGTGTCCTCTATACTTGCCTGTCCTTTCTGGACACCATGATGGGAGCTACTCTGAACAGCAGTGGGAGGCCTCTATGGACTTCTAGAAGAAAAGTGGGGGTTCATCCAACCTTGGTCCCATTGAGGCAAGATCCCAGCCCTTCCTTCTCTAATTCTAGGCTTGACACTTTGCCCACAAATGTCCCTTAGGTGATGAAGGATATGATCCCTTCCCACTCCAGGCCTCCAGGACCTCTTAGAAAGGGTTATATCCATGCTTTCAGCCAGGTGGGTATGAGTAGCTGAGGGATAGAAAAGACACATCCAAGTGTCTGGGGCCCTGATTTTAACAGACTAGAGAAGGCAGCTGGGAAAAGCAGAAAGAACAATGAAACTGTAATCATAAGACCTGGGATTCAAATCCTGGCTCTGCTATATGCCAGGGCAAATCATTTAACCCCTCTGGGCCTCAGTCTCCCCATCTGTAAATGAAGACTAGATGGTCTCCAAGGTCCCTTCCAACTCTAAATCTTATGATCCACAGTCTACGGTGTAGGGGCCACATCTGATGCTCGGGACCTGGGCTCTGGGAAGTTCCCCTCCCGAGATGTCTCATTTGAAGCCTGAGATGCCCCATCTTCAGTGCTGGAGGCGCCTACAGAAAGGCTGGGCTCACGCTGGTCACTGTTCCTCACAGCCGCCTCCAGGGCTTTCTGGCGTCGGTAGAAGTGGGAGAATTTATTGAAGATGATGGTGATAGGGAGGGCCACCACTAGGATGCCACCTAGGATGCAGCCTGAGGCAGCTAGCTTGCCTGCCACAGTCACAGGCACCACATCCCCATAGCCCACGGTCGTCATGCTCACCGTGCCCCACCACCAGCAGGCTGGGATCGTGTCAAAGCCCACATCTTCTTCCTTTTCAGCTGTATAGGCCACACCAGAGAATACGGACACTCCCACAGCCAGGTACAGCAGCAGGATGCCTACTTCCCGGTAGCTATGCTGGAAGAGAAAGCAAAGGTATTGAACGCCCTCTCTCCTATAGCCTGCTCTTCTCCAGAGCCTCCAGAGCCTCCATGCTATTCACCAATAGCATGCTGGGCAACCTCGCATTCATTCCTTTCCCTCTCTGGGCTTCAATTATACAACCTGTAAAATAAAAAGAATTTTAACTGAATAATCTCTAAATTCTCTTCTAGCTCTGTTCTAATATCCCCCTAGCTCTGACATTCTATGATTCGAACCTCGTGTCTTCAGGTCCTCCCTTCACAAAGAGGAAACAAGGACAGAAGTCTTTCTGGGGTTAAGTTAGACCCCCTGAGGTCTAGACCAGACCTTCTTCTGCCTTGGAGGAAGTAATTGACACCTGTGCCTGAAGGCTGGCACCTCAATCAATACTCTTCTCTCCTCGTTGGAGCCATCAGCGTCTGCCTGTCCTGGCCCTCTGCCTTGCAGGAAGCAGATAGTGCAGAGGGAGGGCCCGGGCCTGAGAAACACTTCTCTGAAGAGGGGCAGAGTACGGGACCTCTGGCTAGCAGTTTTTTTCCTGCTCCCAAGGCCCCCATCCTCCTACTCAGAGGCAGCACAGGGACCAGCTCGGGTCTGTTACTGTCTAGCGGTGTGGCTTTGAGCAAATTGCCTAATCTGTGGCCCTCCATTCCTCTTTCATAAGCTGAGGAGACTGAATTAGAGCCACCTTAGGGTCCCTTCCCCCCCCCCCCCCCTGAGCCTACCAAATACTTAAGTACCTATCTATATACAAGTGACGGCTGCTAAGGAAACAGATTAAAAAAAAACACAGCTACTCCTGCCCTCAAGAAGTTTACAATCTAATAAAGGGAATAAAATTGTACACAAATAAGAAAGATTAGATCAAAAGGGGACAGGGTTTGGATAAAGTGTCGAATGAGTAAGCAGAGATCACTTTCAGACATGCGGAAGAGCTCTGGCTTCATGGAGGGCCATAGGTTTATAGGTTCAGACCAAAATGGAGCCTTAGAAGATATCTAGTTTTAATTATTTTATTTTCCATTTCATTTTGGTTTTATTCTGAACTCAGCAAACACTATATAAAGCAAGCATTTCCATATACATATAGAACAAGAGAGAGCTGTACACGAAACTGTGAATTTCTGTTATGGAAAGCTTGCTTTTCTTTTTAAGTATGCAATAAATTCAGCATGAAACTGCCACAGATATCCTGGCTGTCAGTGACTCCCCTGGCCCTCCTTCCAGGAACAAACCTTGTCTTTATCTCCTTTCTCCCTCTCGCCTTTCTCCCCAGATTTGACCTTCTCTGTGAAGAGGGGATAGGAAGATAATAATGCCAGGCCCTAGGCCCAAAGGTACAGCAGGAAGCCACATGGAATATCCAGTTAGTACACAGAAGGCCGTGAGACCCAAAAGGGAATCAAGGTTAGAAACATCACCTGCTGAGAAATGTAGGAGACCTGGAAATTTCTCAAGGTGCCCTCAGGAAAAAGAACAGGCAGCTAGGTGGCTCAGTGGATAGAGTACTGGGCCTGACAGGAAGACTCACCTTCCTAAGTTCAAATCTGGTCTCAGACCTTTAGTAGCTGGGTGACCCAGGGCAAGTCACTTAATGCTGTTTGCCTCAGTTTCCTCATCTGTCAAATGATCTGGAGAAGGAAATGGCAAACCACTCCAGTATCTTTGCCAAGAAAACCCCAAATGGGGCTCACAAAAAGTCAGACATCACTGAAACAACTGAACAAAATTGTAAAGGACACTGTGATCTAATGACAGTTCACCGGTTCACAAAGTGCTTCTTCAGAATCATTCTGAAGTCAGTAGTTTATTGTTATCTCTATCATTATGCATAGTAGCAGCTTACCAGCCCTGAAACTTAACATGTCATCTCCCACCTCCATGCATTTGCATAGGCTGGCCACCATGCCTGGAATGCATTCTCTTCACCTCTATCTCTCAGCATCCTTATCTTTCTTCAAGGTCAACTTTAAGGGACTACCTCCAATGAGAATCTTTCTGAGATGTTCCAAAAGACATTTTTCCTCAGTGCTCTATCCTTGCCCAAATTATTTTGTACTTATCTATGTACCACGTCATGTCTTTACAACAGAATGCAAGCTTCTTGAAGGTAAAGACTTTCTCTTTGATATCCTCAGCACCTAGCTCTCACCCTAATTCATAATAAAAGGGAAAAGGACTCTAGATCTTAGATCCCCACCCATTTTATGGGGAAAGAAGCTGAGTCATCATTGTATAGTAGAAATTGTATAGATTTGGAGTCAAAGGCCTCAAGCTCTCAGAGGCACAGTAAATAGAGCACTGGGCCCTGGAGTCAGGAAGACCCGAGTTCAAATATGGCCTCATCTTTCTAGCTGTGTGACCCTGGACAAGTTACTTAAACTTTGTCTGCCTCAGTTTTCTCAACTGAAAAGTGGGAGTAATAATAGCACGTACCTTCCAGAGTTGTTATATCAGGTGAAATAACATCTGGAGAGCACTTAGCACAGTGCCTGGCACATAGTAGTGCCTAATAAATACTCATTTCCTTCCTTCCTTCCATTTCTACCACTTACTCTATGTGTAAAGTAGCCCTTTCCCCTCTTTTGACCTCAGTTACCTCATCTGTAAAATGAAACTGGATGATATTTAGGGTTCCTTCTGGCTCAAAATCTATGCTCCTCTCAAGTCCGGAGACGTTCACTGACAGGTACAAGGTCATACAGCAAAGTATGTTGCATTCCAGCAGCTCTTCAGTTACCTAGTGGAAGCTGTTCGAAACTCACACTAAGATGCGGCAGCACCTTTACACAGTTCTGTTTATTGTCTCCCCCGTTAGACTGTGAGCTTCTCGAAGCCAGGGACTATCTTTTGCCTCTTTTTGTATTCCCCAGTGCTCAGCACAGTGCCTGACACATAATAGGTGCTTAAAAATTGTTTACTGACAGTCTCTGTCCCCCTTTCCCTTGTACTTTCTTTCCCAAACCCCCAACTCTAGCCTCAGATTCCTATTCCTTTCTCCTCCCTCTCCCATCAAAGCCCAGTTATGTGTTAAAAGAGGAGAAAAGGCAGGGAGTGTCTGCTACTTCATCAGAATGTACTGATAAAAGTTCTCTACTTAGAGTCAGAAAAGCTGAGTTCACATCTTGGCTCTAACTATCAATTAGCTATGGACAAGTTAATTTAGCTTTATGGCCTCAGTTTCCTCATCTGTAAAAGTGGATCATATTCTTGTACTATCTTCTTTACAAGGATCTTCTGAAGGAAACACTTTGTCAGCCTCAAAACCTAAAAAAATGTGAGCTCTCATTGCAGTTCTGTATAATGGGAAGGGAGAGTGATGGGTTTGTCATTAAAGGATAATGGACAAGGGTCCCAACACTGCCAGTTGCTAGCTGTGTTAGGCTGAGCTAGCCATTACCCCATTTCTAGACATGTTTTGTCCTCCTCACCCTCAGGGAGGGTGGGCTAGATAGTAATTTCATCAGGCCCTTGGTGACCCAGAAGCCCTAACCAACTTCACTTCTTGCTGGTGTCAAACAAAATGGTCCAATCTCCACCATCACAGGACTCTTTGCTGAACTGGTATTTTCACATGGCTTAGCAAACCTTCCTCTCCTAATCCCTATGAATCAAAATTGTCTTTTGCTGGAGTGAAAATTCCATTTCCATATTACTACTGCTCTTTCATCCCCATCTATCTTAGCCCTCTCTATCCTGAGTTTTCCCATTTTCCTCCACCTTCCATTTTGCCCTTTAGATCTCCTGTTCTGTTGTTAAATTTCTTTTATCTTCAGTCTCTTCCTCTCACATACTATCCACCTTTAAATTATGGAAACCTGACCTTCCCCCCAAAGACACTGCATCCCTGGCCACTCTCCAGTACTGAATGTACCTTCTCTCCTGCTCCCAATGAAATGAGCAAATAGGAGGAGTGGGTATATTCCAGGTGGTGCAGTGGATAGAGTGCCTGGCCTGAGCTCAGATCTGGCCTCTTAGTAGCTGTGTGATCCTGGACAAGCCACTTAACCTCTACCTACCTCAGTTTCCTCATCTGTAAAATGGAGATAATAACAGTACCTACCTCATACAGTTGTTGTGAGGCTCAAATGAGATAGTAATTATAAATGCTTAACACAGTGCCGGACACATAGGAAGCACCATAGAAATGTTAGCTGTTATTATTCCTTGCTCATAACGGCCCCTTCCACACCTTCTATCTGTTGCCATCACACAGCAACCTCTCCTCATTTGAGGTCCAATGGTCTACAGCATGAATTCCAAATCCTTGTTGCAGTTACCCAGCTATGCCCCAGTAATATTTCCTCCTTTTTCAAGGAGCTCAGTACTTGACTCCAAGTTTTCTTCTCCGCCCCAACCCTTGTCCTTACACTTGGGACTTCCAAATATGCTATCATATCCTCTCAAACATCCCGGTCATCCATTTCATCAATTTTCTCTATTCCTATAACCAACTCCTTCATTCCACCTCATCCACACATAAAAAATGGCTACACCATTCCTCTCACCATCACTCATTAATGGGCTACCTCATGCTCTTGAACTCTGAAATTCTTCTCTTTAACCATAACCTCATCCTTCCATCTTCCCCTTTGTCTGACTTCTCCTAAACCTCTTCTTCCTTCTCCCTGTGTTATCCACTCAACTGCTCTCTGAGTCTATCACTTTTGTTCTGGCCTCACAGTCTTAACCCTTTAATTAACAAGCTCAACTATCTACCATCCTCTACCCTTGCATGCTTTGTCCTTCCATACTGCTCATGGCTTACTGAAGCTCTGCCCTAGGTTACCCATAGCATCTGCCTTTTCTGCTGAGCACCAAAGGAGGAAGTCACAAAACCATGCTGCCTGGGACCACTGCAGACTTATGTTACATTATAGCACCTGGGCCTTCACTGCTACACTGCAATCCTTTCCCTCCCTCTCCCCACTATTGATTATCACATTCTGCAATGTCTGATCTAAACTAACTTTCCCTCTTACAGTTCTCCACACCACCTCTTCCCCCTTCCTCTGAACAAAAGACTGTACTTCTTCTTTACTAAGGAAATAAGAGACCATACATATCCTCTTCTCCTTCTCCTTGCAAGGGCAAACATCTCTACTTAGGCCTTTTATTCCGTTGCCTCCCATCTGCTGCACAAGTTTATTCTTTCTTTTATCCCTTTTCTCTCTCATTTTCTTTTTTTGTGTAGAAATTCTAGTTTATTTTCAAAATACTCACATATAGAATAATTCTAGAGATGTTCATTTTGTTCTCTCTGATTTTCAATCTCTCCTTTAACAGTACCTGTCATATAGCAGATATTTAATAATTGCTTCTTTCCATTCCCTATTCCTTTCCTTTCCTGCTGTTTGGAAAAATGCCCCAGTTTTCTCCTTCTTTTAGAAAAAAATCTTCACTTGACCCTGCTATCCCCTCAAGTTATCATTATGTTTCACTCTCTCTAAAAAAAAAAAAAAAAAAAAAAAAAAAAGCCAGCTAGGTGATTCAGTGGATAGAGTCTGGAGTCAGGAAGACCTGAGTTCAAATGTGACCTCAGACACTAGCTGTGTGACCCTGGGCAACTCACTTAACCCTATTTGCCTCAGTTTCATCATCTGGAAAATAAGCTGGAATATCTCCAGTATCTTTGCCAAGAAAATTCTTGGGGTAATGAAGAATCAGACATATCTGAAACGACTGAACAAAAAATCCAAGAGTCAAGGACTGGACCTCTGATTTCATTGGCATAGGGAACTCCCAGATGAGGAGACTCACTTTACCAATGCAGGTAAGTGACTTCTCTGCAACTTAGTCTTGGCAAATTGCATAGAACACTGAGAGATGAAGTAACTTGCTTGATGTTGCACAGCTAGTATGTGACAGACATGGGACTTGAACCCCAGGTCTTCTTGGCTTCAAGGTCTCTATGCTACGACTGCCTCTCCAAGAGATCCAGAATCCTAGGAAAAGGCAGTTCTGTTCACTACCGCCACTCTTTCACCAACTCTCAACAATCTGAATTCTGACTCCTCTCCCCAACCAAATAAAACTGCTCTCTTCAAGGTTACCAGTGACTTCAATTCTTAAATGTGATAGTCTTTTCTCAGACTAATAGGCAGCTTTCCCCCTCCATGTCCTCTTCCTGAATACCCTCTCCTGGTTTTTTGGTCTGAATGCTCCTTCTCATTAGGATCATTATGAATTTCCTACCTCCTAATCATGGGGGTCCTCCATGCCTTTGTTCTTGGCCCTTTTTTTCCCTCTTTCCATCTTCTCTGTGATCTCAAACAATCCCATGGATTCTATTCTCATTATTAAGCAGAGGACCCTCAAATCTATATATCCGACCCTGTTTTCGCTATTGTCTCTAGCCCAACATCACCAACTTCCTGCTGGGCATCTCCACTGAGATGTACCATTGACATCTCAAATTCACCATGTCCATAAGGGAACACTTTCCTGTGTCTATTGTGGCACCATCATCCTTGCAAGATCGTTCAAGGCTCAGATGCTATTTCTAACAGGAAGTCTTTCTTGGTCCCCCTAAACTGTCAGTGCTCTCTCCTTCCTAATATTATCCTCTCCTTAATTACCCTAGTATATAACCTAGTATATGTAGGGCAGCTTGGAGGTGAAGTGGATAGAGTGCCAGGCCTGGAGGCAGGAAGACCTGAGCTCAAATCTCGACTCAGATACTAGCTGTGTAACCCTGGGCAAATCACTTAACCCTGTTTGCCTCAGTTTCCTAATCTGTAAAAGAGTTGGAGAAGAAAATGGCAAACCATTCCAGTATCTTTGCCAAGAAAACCCCTAAAGGGGTAAGAGACAGACCAAAAACGGCTAAACAACAATTATACCCCAGTATAATGTAAGCTCCTTTAGGGCAGGGACTGTTTGCAATTTTTGTCTCCTGATCTAGGGGCTACAGAGCCAACCTAGAAGCCCTGGATTCAAGTCCTACCTCTGTTACATGCTAGCTCTGTGGTCCTAGGCAAGTCAAGGTAATGTCTCAGTGCTCCAAGCAACTACCTAAGACTTTAAATTACAGGGGTTACTGACCTGCATTGGTGGAGGGAGTTTCCTCATCTGAGAGTTCCCTATCTCAGTGAAATCACAGGTCCCGTACCTTCGCTGAGCACAACGCCTGGCATGTAGTAGAAACAAATTCAACTGTTTGTTGAATTAAATTCCTAAGGTTCCTTCCAGTACTAAACCCTATTATGTCAACGCATTAAGGATCGTCTGTGCTATTTATCCCACACCTGATACAACTCATTCATTTATGGGACTTCAAAAGTGAGGTGTCAGAGGCTCAGAGGTCAAATACTTTGCCTTTGATCACACAGCCAGTGTCAGGGCTGAAGGGTTGAACCCCAGTCGTCCTTACTCCAAGCCAACGACTATCCCGCACACCAGGTTGCCTCTGCCTAATTATGACGCTACTGTTACCTTGAGCGTGGCCCCCAGGGAGCGAAGCCCGGTCGAGTGTCGGGCCAGTTTGAGCACCCGAAAGATGCGCATGAGCCTGAAGACCTGCACCACTTTGCCCATGCTGCCCAGCTTCGAGGACCGGCCCAGCATGACGCTCACAAGCAGCGTGAGGTAGAAGGGCAGCACAGACACGATGTCGATGAGGTTGAGGGGATGCCGGAAGAAGCGGGGCAGGCTTGGGGCCAGCAGCAGGCGGGAGGCCACCTCGAAGCTAAACCAAGCGATGCAGAAGTATTCGAGTCGCAACAAGAGCGGGTGGGCCACGGCCACGTCCTCATCGTGTTCCTGGTACTCTGGCAGGCTATGGATGCACATGGCCGCAATGGAGACGAGCACGACGCCGATGGAGACGCAGCTGAAGAGCTTGCTTGGCAGGGAGTAGCCTGGGTTCTCCATGGTCAGCCAGAGGCGCTTACGCAGCTGGCCGCAGCGCGCTGCGCGATAGCGCTGCAGGTCCTGGTTGAAGTCGGAGATCTCGTCGGGGGACGTGTCCACGCTGCTCACGTCGCTCTCCTCGTCCCAGCTACGCCGGTGGCGCTCGAGGCGCCGCTCATGGTAGCGGCCACTGCAGCAGGCGGCCAGGAAGCAGTCGCCTAGCCCCCAGTACTCAGCCTCCTGGCCAAAGGCGAAGACGCACAGCTCCTCCAGCACGTGCAGCCGGCCGGTGCGGTAGAAGTGGAGCAGACACAGAAAGAAGCCCGGGTGCCGGTCAAAGTAGAACTCTCGCTTGCCGGGGTCGTAGTCGTCGCACAGCTGACGGGCCTGCTCCTCCGATGCAGCAGCCTGCAGACGGCCCAGCCGCGTGTCGGGAAACTGAGCCAGAGCTCGCGGGCTCAGACGGCGCCGCACGCCGCCCACGTTCACGTTGAGTGCCTCCCCGGGCAGCCCAGGCCTCCAGAGGCCGCCAGGAGATTCGCTGACCATGGTGGCCCCTGAATGTACTTCTTCCGGCTCCTGGAGACGGAGGGAAGAGAAAGACAACCCTGAGTCTGGGGAAGGAGGCCTTCTGCGACTCAGTCGCGCTCCCAACACGCCTCCCCCGAGAGGCTTTTCTCCACCCCCACCTCACATACAGAGCTCTCCATGGGCAAGGTGGCCCCCACATCCTACATCCTTGCATGGGATTATAGGAGCTAGTACTGGACAGGACCTCCAAGGTTGTCTTGTTCGACTCTTTCAAAGTTTTACAGATGGGAAAACTGAGTCCTGGAGAGGTTTGCTTAAGGTTAAATAACTAGTGTCAGATTCGTGATTCGAACCGATATCCGCTGGTTCTTCCCTCAATTGGAAGGGGCGGGTTGGAGGAAAGCAGAGCGCCCGAGGTGAAGGAGGTCAGGAGGCCAGGGCGTCCATCACTCTTCCCTCACCCAACGGCTTTCCCCAGAAGTCGGGGCTTCTTGAAGAGGGAAGGGAGTTTCAGAGCCGAAAGGAACTGAAACCCCAGAGATTCAAACTTCCCACTGCAGCTCTGGCCACCTCCCCCTTCCAGGCGCTCCATCTGTGCCGTCGGGGATTTTCTATAGCAGCACAGGCGATGTATGTCCCCAAGACCTTGGCCCGTATCTCCCCTGCACCCCTGCACCCCTGCACCCCATGGGATTATGCGAATTAGCCTGGGGCAGGCTGCCTCCCTGAGTGCCGCCCCAGTTGCCGGAGCCGGCACCCCTTACCGCTGTCCAAACCGGAGCACGAGCCTCACTGCCTCGCCCTTGACATTGGGAACTTCCCCAGAGCAGAGTATAGTGCCCTCTCCTTTGGCTGGTTCCAAGATGCTTAAACTGGACCCTGGCCGCCCTGCTTACTGTATGCATTCGGCGAGGTGAGGGCACCCCTACTTTGCAAAGGGGAGATGGGATGCCCGGCGCCTCCTTGTGCGCTGTGGCTGAGGCTGCTTCAGCCTTTTCCCTGGGTTGAGCTGAGCTCGAGCCCCGCCTCCCGAAGCGGGGAAGCCAAGCTCGCCTTCTTAATGGACTCTTCGCCCGCTGCGTAAACCGCCTCCCCCACCTCCCCCAGGCCGGGCAGCAAGGGGGGAAAGGGGGAGTGGGAGGGGAAGGGCAGCCCGCGCCGGGGCCGCATCGATCGCTGCTGGTTAAGAAGCTGCGGGGGAAGGAAGAGATGACAGGAGGAAGGCAGGCGGCTTCTATTTCTGATTTGGCCGGGGCTGAGAGGAGTCCTGACTTCAGGAGGATGTTCACTTTGACCGACATCTCCTGCTCAATGTCTGTGACTGGGAAACCCGACGGTCAGGGACCCCCTTAGGTCCAGTGATGCAAAATTCAGGGCAATTTACCCATAATGAAAATCCTTGGCCAGGGGTTAGAGAAAACCTGGTCAAGGCTCCCTCCTGCCGTGGATGAGGCATCAGGCAGGCCCAGAACACACTCTGTACCCTCCATAGCAGAATAATAGCTCACTTCTATAGCTTGTTACAATTTACAAAGCACTTTCCTTGTAACAGCCCTAGGAGGTAAGTAGTGCAAGTATTTTTATCCCCATTTTACAGATAACAGGAAACAGGCAAGAGAGGAAATGGCTTTGCCAAGGTCACACGGCTTGTAAGTAGAGGACAACCTCCTGAACCCCAAGTCTAGGGCTTAATCCGCTTCAGTATGGCTAGCTTTCAAGGGACCCTACCCAATTTTTACCCTCCCACCTAAGCATAGCTTGGATTTCGTCCTTTGAAAACTGCCTGTTCATATCCTTTGACCATTTTATCCATTAGGGAATGACCTCTTGTTCTTATAAGTTTGAATCAATTCCATATATATCTTGGATATGAACTCTTTAGCAGAGAAACTTGCTACAAAGATTTACACACCCTTCCCCCCAAGTTAACTGTTCTAACTAACTTCATTGATTTTGTTTGTGCAAAAACCCAAATTTTATATAATAGAATTTGTATATTTTGCCTTCTTTGATCCTCTCTCTCCCTTGTTTAGTCATAAATTCTTAGATCCGAAAGGTAATTTCTTCCTTCTTCCTATGATTTGTTTATAATGTCACCTTTCAGGTCTAGGGCACAAATCTATTTGAAGGGAAAACTGAGAAAGAATCATGTGGCCTATGGCAATCCACAGTAGAACCCAAGGAACACCTCCTAAGTTATAAAATAGAGAGAGGTTTATTCACTTCAATTAACACTTCGTATGCACCTTCTCTGTACAAGACACTGGGTTGTGCACTGGAGATAAGAAGAAATTGTTCTCTTCCTTCTAGGAGCTTATGTTCTTCCAGGGAGTGCAGCATACAGCAGAGAAGTGAATAAAAGGTATTTTGAAGAGGAGGGCACTAACCCTTGGGGTGATTGGGAAGAAGCAAAGGATTCTAAAAATTGGAGGTGTGCCCATGCAAAGTTGTGGAGGGAGAAAATAGAATGAGGAGTTCAGGGACCAGCAAATAAGCCTTTTGGCTGGAATTCATGGAGTTCATGAAGGGGAATGATAAGAAATGAGTTTGAAAAGGTAGTCTGGGGCCACAATGTGGCCAAAAGACTTTGGATGCAACGCTGAGTAATTCCTATTTTATCCTAAAGGCAACAGAACCACAAAGATTTTTGAGCATAGGTGTGACATTGTTTGACCTGTATCTTGAGAATGTCAATTTGGCAGCTAAGAAGACCAATTAGGAAGGTATTGCAACCTCTACTCTGGATTGCTCCCAATTTCTCCACTCTAACTCATGTGCTGCTAAATAGGCGGAAGGAAGTTGCAACACTGTGCCTATTGGGTACATTATAAATGAATGTAATCCAACTTCAGTTGGGACCTAATTGCAGCAAAGTAATCCTGGTATTCCTTCCTCATTGTTTCTCTGTGTCATTCTTCTTTTCTTTTCTTTTTTTTTAGGCAATTGGGGTTAAGTGACTTGCCCAGGGTCACACAGCTAGTGAGTGTCAAGTGTTTGGTCTAAGGCCGGATTTGAACTCAGGTCCTCCTGATTTCAGGGCTGGTGCTCTATCCACTGCACCACCTAGCTGCCACCTAGCTGCCCCCACTCTGTGTCATTCTTGACAAAAGCTTGTCCAAACCTCTTCTCTCTTTAAATTCTCCATCTTCCGCCCTCTCTTCAACTCCTACTTGACAGAGAAAAATGAAGCCATTCAATGTGAACTGCTTCTTCTCTTCATCTCAGAACTCCTTAACATTATCCCCAACTCTCTTCCTTTCTACTTTCTCTGACACTGAGGTGACCCTCTATCTCTATGTGTGCCCTTGATTTCACCCTCTCCTATCTTCTCCAGCAGACTGTAACTTTAGCCATCCTTTCTCTCGAATCTTTTGTCTCTCCCAATTTGTTGGTTCCTTCCTTGATGCCTTCAAATATACCCAAATATCCCTAATCCTTTAAAAAGAAAACCTTAACTAGACCCTGCCCACAAGCTATCATATTAGATCTCTCCCTTTCTGAGCCAAACTCCTAGGAAAAAAATGCATCTACCCTCCCTGCCTCTATTTCTCCTTTCCTCAACCCTTGGTAGTCTGACTTCATACCTCTTCACTCAACTGATACAGCTCTCTCTAAGGTTTCCAATGATCTGTTAATTGCCAGATCTGCTGGTCTTTTTACAATACTCATCCTTCTTGACACATCTGCTTCATTTGACATTACTGACCACGCTTTTCTCATAGATTACATTCTCTGGGCTTTCTCCTGGTTTTCCTCCTACCTGTCTACCTGCACCTCATTTTTCCTTGCCAGTTCATTGTGCAGATTAAGCTCTCCTAATCATTGGGTGGCACAATGCCTAGAGTCAGGAAGACTCGAGTTCAACTCTGGCCTTCAACACTTACTAGCTGGGTGACTCTGGGCAAGTCATTTAACCTCTGTTTGTTTCCATTTCCTCAATTGTAAAATGGGAATAATAATAATAATAACACCTACCTCACAGGGTTGTTATGAGGATCAAATGAGATAATGTTTGTAAAATGCCCTAACACAGTTCCTGGCATGCAGTAGATACTCAATAAATGCCTGTTTTCTTCCTCCTTTCTTTCCTTCCTTCCTAAATGTGGATGTTTCCCAAGCCTTTGCCCTAGGTTCCCTACTTTCTTTTTACATTCTCTCTCAGTGACCTCACCAGTTCCCATAGTATTAATTAGCACCTCTGTGCAGATGACTCACAAATCTATATATCCAGCCTGCCTCTTCCTATATTTAATCTTACATCAGCAATTGCCAGTTGGATATTTCAAACTAGATGTCCTAGAGACAACACAAACTCGACATGTCCAAAGCTGAACTTATTATCTTTCCTCCCAAAATTCTCCCCTCTTCAAAATGTCCTTATTTCTGTTAAAGGCAACACTATTTCCCCAGTCTCAAGGATTCATTACCTTGTTATTCTCTTCAACCTCTCATTCTCCCCAACCTCTCATTCTCCCATATCCAATTAGCTGCCAAATCTACTTCCATGTTCTCTTGAGTCTGACCCCTTCTTGAGTGACATAGCTACCACCTTAGATGAGACTCTCATCACCTTTTGCCTAGAATGGCCTCCTAATTGCCTTAAGTTTTTCTCCACTCCTGTCCATCTGCTATACCGCTGGCAAAGTGATTTTCCATGCGAGCAGATTGCACCATGTCATTCCCCTCTTCCATAAACTTCATTGGCTCCCTGTTGCATTAGAATCAAATATAAACTCTTCAGTCTAGCTTTTAAAGCCCTTCACAACTGTCCTAAGCTATCTTCCCTGCCTCATTGTACACTATTTCCCCTCCCACATTTAAAAAATTTTTTTTAATTTTTATTTTTTTAAATTAATTTATTTTGATCCCTCCCACATTTTTTAATTCAGCCAAACTGTCTTTTCTCTGTATCTCCCATAGGTTACTATATCTCCCATCTCCATGACTTTGTATTGACTATCCCACATGCCTGGAATGTACCCCCTCCTTGCCTCCATATCACAGAGGCCTATCTTCCTTTAAGATCACCTTCTCCATGAAGCCTTTCCTATGCCCCTCAATTGCTAGTGCCATTCCTCTCAAACCATCCTATGTTTAACTATTTTATATTTATTCTTTTTGCATATATATAGTATATATTTTTATATGTCCTTGTTGTCTCTTCCTTTAGAATGTCAGCTCCTTGTGAGTAGATATTGTTTTATGTATTGTATTGTTGGTGTTCCAATACCTACTTCAATGCCTGGCACATGGTGGTAAACACATAATAAATTTGTGTTAATAAATATTTGTTGATTGATTGAGATAATGAGGACTTGGACTGGGATAAAGGCTGTGTAGGTAGAGAGAAGGAGTTCTAGGAGAAATATGAAGGTAGATTTACCAAGACTAGGCAACTGACTGAGTAAGAGGGAGGCCAGAACATATCATGTCAAGCTGGAAGGGACCTTAGAGCGTGTTAGATCTGGGAGAGATCTTAGATCATAGAACCTGTTAGAGGTGTTTTGGAACTGGAAATTGGAGGGGTGGTGGTGCCCTCAGAAGAAATAGGGAAGTTTGGAGAATGGGTGAGTTTAGGGTAAGGATAATGAATTCTGGTTTGGACTTGTTGAGTTTGAACTGTCACAAATGTTCAGGTAGAGCAGTCAGGCAGGCAGCTGATAAAGCAGGCCTGGAGTTAAGCAATGAAACTAGGGCTGAATACAGAGACTCAGGCAGCTGGATGGCATAGTGAATAGGAGGTTAGAGTTGGAGTTAGGAAAACCTGGGTTCAAGTCCTGCCTCAGACACTAGCTGTGTGACCATGGGCAAGTCATTCACCTCAGTTTCTTCATTAGTAAAAATGGGGATAGTAATGGCACTTAGATCTTGAGACTGAGGACTGCATGGGATAACATGTAAAGTGCTTTACAAACCTCAAAATGCCATATAAATACTATCAT